ACAACTTAAGTGTCCATCAACAAAAAAGTGGATAAACAAAATGTGAGACAGATATATATATATATGAAATATTATTTTAGTCATAAAGAAAAAGAAGTTTTGGTACATGATACAATATGAGTGAAACTTAAAAGCATAATGTCAAGTGAAATAAGGAAAAAATCTCCCAGTATTATTATTTCACTTGCATGAATACCTAGAATAGTCATATACAAAGAAACAAAAGTGGTTAATAGATGCTACGGAAGGGAGCAAAAGAGAACTATTTCAGGGATAATGCATTTCTGTATAATATAATGATTATAATTAATGTTAATGTCACTAAATCATACAAACTAAAATAGTTACAAGTGCAATTTTCTCCCCCTATATATACTCTGCAATTTCTGGTCAACACTTTGAGGTGCATTAGGAGCTCTGAATGGCCTAGTGGCAAGAAGCTGGGTTGCAATCCCAAAGGCATGCAGTTTAAGATTACCAGCTACTCCATGGGAGAAGGATGAGCACTCTCCTTCATTCCTTTAACTGCCTCTGAAAACTCACTGGAGGGCCAGCTACGGGTCAGTTCCAACTATGATATACAACAACAAAAGGTGAAAGTTTACATAGCAAATTATTTTCAATAGTCTATTTAAAAAATGTTCTGTGAATTGGTTGCAACTGCTATATATATTATCAAAACTAAGTTTTAAAAAAACAAAACTAATTATTAAATTCTAAAAATCCTGTCCAAAGGACTAATGGACCATGTGAAATTTAACTTCCATTACTCCAAGACTGAAAGAATCAGATGGTGCACAAACACCACTGACAACTTTTCTTAAAAAACAACAACAACAAAACACACAATAAAGAGACCAGGCTTACTGGTAGAATAGAAACTAAAGGAATCCCAAGATTAAGTAACCTTTAGTACCCTTCAAGTCTCGAACCTCAACTCTCTTTCCCCATGCATGGCTCAACTTTCAGCCAAACAATACACAAGTCTATAATATGAACAATAAGACCAGGGAGGTAATCATTCCTTAGAATAATCAATGATGCAAATGAAAAGAGCAACATGTGCCCAGAGATAAAGTTTACAAGGCAGGAAAGGATACTAAAGAAGGAAGAATGCAAACTGTAAATTACACATGGGAAAGAAGTGTCAAGAAAGCTATCAAATCAGAAAGAAATGTTTAAAAAATTATATACAAATAAATTTGATAATTTCCATTTTCAATCTCCTTGAAAAATTAATTTGGTATCTAGATTGGGATTGCATTGAATATGCAGATTGTTTTTGGTAGGACTGTCATTTTCACAATATTGAGTCTTCTTATCCTTGAACAGGGCACATGTTTCCATTTCTCTAGGTCTTTTATTGTGTCTTGCAGGAATGCTCTGTAGTTTTCTTTGTACTGATCTTTTGTATCTCTAGTTAGGCTCACTCCCAAGTATCTCAAATTGTGGTTGGCTATTGTAAATGGTATTGCTTTCTTGATTTCCTCCTCTGAGATCTCTTTGTTACTATAGGGGAATCATACTGATTTTTGGATATTGATCTTACCAAACTTGGGAG